CCACCGAAAATGAAATTTACCTGTGACATGTTTCACCCCAATAGTAAGTACTTAAAATCTTAATATGTATTTCCAAATAGAGTCGGTTCTGCCATACCGGAAACAAAAAAGACCGCAGTTCTAACAGCGTATCCTAATAGTTATTTTAAAAATATGTACTAAGGCATACGTATCGTTACCTTAATATAGAACGGCCTTATTTCACATCGTCGGCTTTTTTGCCTTTCAGCGACAATCTGAGATAGGGCCCTTCTTTATTAAGGTAGCGATATGTATATGTACATATCGTCGCTCGGCGCGCAATACCTCGTAGCCGCCATATAAAGCAGGCCGGAAATTTTCAGAAAGTAGCAAAAAAACTAACTTTCATAAAAACTTTTGAAAGGATTTCTAGCCGAACTTACTAAATAGGGGCTTCTACTATAATTCCTCCCCATTAAATTTACGGAGTAAGCACCTATTGGACGGGATAACCAAAACAAATTTTTTTCTATGCCACGTCAAACGTGGTATTGGTATAGCATTAAGCGGATACGAAATATATAAATAAAACCCATTTTATTATAGTTTTTGCTGACGGACGAGTTTGCATATCAATATTGCATGCGCCTGGCGATGATCCCATGGGCTACGAATTATCCGCTGAGCGTTGGAGTCCTGTGCAAAGCGTGGAAAAGATTCTGCTTAGTGTAGTTTCAATGTTGGCTGGTGAGTAAAGTAGATATTAAAGTCAAAATAAACAACTGCAATAGCTAGTATATAAGGCTCGTTTGCGTTTTATGTAAAATTAAATGCATGCAATTTTTTTTTTTTTTTTGCTATTTTTAAGTATGCCATTGCGTTCGTCATTTGATTCATAGCGAAACATTGTTATTACGAAATGTCAAGTTCATCATTTAGCAATTCAAATTAATTACATGCGTTGTTTAACACTTTGTAAAAATTTGTATGCGAGCCTCACGGAAAAGATGGTCCGTAAAAGCGGCGTACCTTTACAAATAATTCTAAGAGAACAAAAGAGTCGTAGGAATTGCTGCATTGCAATTTAATTTATTTATAATTTAAACGCTTAAGGAATAAAATTAAACTGTGCACATTTTTCCTTTACAGAGCCAAATGCCGAATCGGGAGCTAACGTTGATGCG